ATAAGTGGAGACGGTGGCCTCATGTGGAAGATGAAGAATTAATTCACAATAGTAACAGGAGAAATATAGTCATTCTGTTCTCTTCATTCATGGGAACAAAAGAGTCAGGTGTGCAAATCAAATCAAAGGGGCAACAGGTAACAGAAGTCCCTAGATTTCTTTGAGGGCCATGTTCTGACTTTTGTAGTTATGCTGGATTTCTGATTAAACTACCTGTAAAACTGGGGACAAGAGCAACTATCTTTTAAAATTATTGAGAAGCTGGAAGCATGGCTCAAAGTGGTAGAGTGCTTGCCTAACAAGTACAAAGCCCTGAATTCAAACCCTGTACCACCAACAAACAAAAATAAAAGTAAAGATAACATTGTGAAGTTAATCAAACATGCTAAGTCTTAGAAGAATCACAATGGTATAATTGGCCAAAATGCTAAATGTTGTTCATTGCTATTATTATTATATTACCATTAATTGTATGAGCCCAAATTGCATGATTCTAATATTTGTACTTAATTTTATAGCTCCTTGGCATCAAATAAAATGCAACCCTTGGGAGAAAGAGCAAGTTGTCAACTATGATATGGTTTGTTTAACATATTTTCTCTAATGCAATTTTGGCACATTAATTCTAAAGGGGCTGTAAATTGAATCAATTCTGATTTTGTTAAAGTCTTTGAAAGCGCTGTTACATTCTATTGAGCCAAATGATTATCTTATAGTAAACAAATGGGGAGCATTTTGAAATTCAATACTTGCTACAGTTTTTGATTAGCAAGCAGAAGGAATGAATGCAATCAATACTTGGACTCCCTGAACACAATGTATTTATGTCCTTTGTGAAAATCTTTCTTAATATTTGGACTTCTCTCAATTGCTGCCTGGTCTGTCTGTGATCTTGACATTACTGCCACCCTGGCTCAACTCTCTTCTGGTTCACTCCATCTTCTACTCTTGTCTGCCCATCCCTGACCCCTTATAGGGTTATGACTGTCCACATAGCAGTGATCTCTTAAAACTGTATATCAGGTTAGGCCACTGTTCTGTTTAAAACCCCCAAGGGCTTTCTGTAACAGAACAAAATGCAAACCCCATTCATGGTGCAGAAAAATTGCAGAGTTGGCCTCATCCACCCTCCAGCTCTTCTATTGCCTTTTCTGTTCACTTTGTTCCTAAAGCCCAGCTTATCAAAATCTTTCCTACTCTTTTGGTTCCTTCTGCATAGATCATTCCTTCCTCAGCTCTTTGGATGACTGGCTTGTCATTAATATCCCCATTCAAATATTGCCTCCCTAAAGAAGATGCCCTGACATCTCTCAATAAATCCACCAATTGCATGTCCTTCGTTACTCTCTTGTTTCAAGAGTAAGGGACATTTATGCATTACATATAAGACTTAGGTCTTCTCCCCTTTAGCTGCAATGCATAGGAAATGGGAGCTAACTAAATGTAATGGGAGGAATAAATAATTCCAATTCCTGAAAACTTACAGATGATTTAGTTAAAACCCTAACAGCTCGGAGAGACTTAGACTGTTGCATAGGTTTTCAGTTAGCTACTAAAGGCATTATTTTATAAGCCTTTTATTTCTTCATTCCTTTAACCACTTTTTTTTTACTTCTTTTACCCAGTTATTTTCTGTATATGTGCAATGGATATTATATACAGAACACAAATTAGAATGATCTCGAGGAATACAAAATTTACTATTTCACTTCATGACTCCTCACAGAAAAAGTAGTAAAAGGTTTTATTTTCCTAGAAAAGGCTACCTAATATCCTGATCAAAATATTAAGTTAGTTGTTCATAGAGTTTTAGAGAAACATCCTTTGGGAAAATATAAGCTAAATTCAAGCCTAAAACATGGATATCTGGAATGAATTATACATCCACAGAGTATTACAATGAAATTGAAGATGCTCCTATAAGGGCAAATGAAATTGAAGGTACGTGTACACCAAGGAACAAATGGTCCTGCAGAGCTCAGAAAATCTGTATTATTTTTAATTTTATGAAAAATTAAAATTATTTTATTTAAAAAAAATTTTATTAAAAATTTGGAACCATCTGGAAATCTGCAGTGCAGACATGGTATAGGAGAGGATGTGGGATTGAGGACAAATACAAACAGTTTTTTATGAAGATAATCTTTCTTCTGAAAAAATGTTTTTACTGAGCATTCATTACATTTCAGGAATTACACTAATTGCTTTGTATGAATTATCATCTAATGCTCAACTTCTTGACGTAAAGTACTTGAGATGAGAAAAAGGGAAGCAGAGAAGTAATTTCATCTGTACAAGGTCACAGACACTGGACTTGACTTTAGCCTAACTTGCAAGTCTCTGTGTATTAAACACATGAAAATACTATCCACTTGATCTTATCTCATTTCAATGGGTCACCACCGTTTTTCCTTGTTTTTATCTTGTGCAATGCTAGCATTCACAAGACAAATTGTTCCTTTTAAGAGTTATTTCTTTTGTTACTATTTCAACTTTAAAAGTTAATGTTTCATTTAAAAACCGAACTCCTTTTTGTTCACATTAAAATCTTAAAAGATCTTCAAAGAAATGATAAATAAATTATGTTATCTTTCTTCTTTTTTTGTGGTTCTGGGGTCTAAACACATGACCTCACACATGCTAAACACATGTTGCTAAATTATGGTATCTCTATACCCCTCAAAATTTGAAACAAATAAAACAAATGCGCCCTATCCTTATGGGCTTCCCTGGAAGACTATCCATGGGATAGTGCCATGTGACACTTGCAAATATGCAGAAAGGTATGATATGATTCCTGGCTAGCATGTTAATGTGTCTAAGAATATGGAAAGACTCAGTCTACACTCTGAGCAATGGTTGCCTAGTTTCATCTTCATATGATCTGGCACAAAATACATAGGTTACGTTTTTTAAGACAGTTTTTTTAATGGTACCGGGGTTTGAACTCACAGCCTCACATTTGCTAGTCAGGTGCTCTACCGCTTGAGCCACTTCTCCAAGCAAAGTGTACTTTTGTAATAAATAATGAGTGCAGAGTAATTTCCCACATCATTTCTTTCCAAATACTGGCTTCCTATGTATTTGAGTTGTTTTTCACATGATCTTGTTTCTAACATTAACCTTTTTTTAAACCCTACTTTTAACCAAAGCACATGTTTTATTTATTTTATGCATTAAGTTTCCAGTTCATTTCTATTAAGCAACAGATTTCCCAGCAAAAATAAATTTGTTTTTAAAATTTTTTGTATTGTTCTGGGATCCATTGAGGCATTTACTAAAGTTCTTACAATATATCAAATATATCACAGTTGAATTCACCTCCTCCATCATTCTCCTTTATCCCCCTAAAAATAAATTTGAAATCTTTGTTTCTTGGCACCTACATATTCAATAGTATGTCTGTCGATGTATCAGTAAAACCAACTATTGGATTTGGAACAATCTTTACATGTACATGTACAACCACAAGGCTGTGTGCATTATTAATATAAATATTTTCTTATTGAGAAATTACAGATTGCTCTTTACTATAAGTGTTACACATATATAATTTGAGATCAAATATGAACTAAACTTGGTTTTCTTAACTTGAACGATCATTCTATTGTTATTTAGTATTAAGGCATTTTGAATAGAAAAATCTAGGCAATGAATTAAAACATTGTCTTACATTTTAAAATGTCTTTAAGGTAGCCAAAGATGGGCTGAGCTAGAGAAAAGAGTAGACTGTCTTAACCAAACCTGAACTATTATTTAGTTAGAAAGTGGCTACAACACAAATGGATAAATTTCCCCTCCCATCTATTTCAGAATAACCATGAATTTAGTCTTCTGTTAAAACTCTAACCCAGTCTCACAAAAATGTGGAAGACTCATTATTTTGACTCCTGCTGCAACATTGTATCAATCAACTGAATGGATTCCACTGTTCTGAAGTTGAACTGAACACATAACAACCCTATGGTTAGCAGCCTTCACAGTAAATTACAATTGATTCAACAAATACTTACTATGTGCTCACTAGAATTCAATGCACTATCTACAATTTGCAAAGTTCATAAAGATGTGTAAAGTGCAAGTTTTGCTCTCTAGGATCTTAAAGCACAATTTGATGGGACTCTATGTAACACAAATAGGAATGTAAAGAACAGGAAGTAGAGAGGAGAGACTGATGACAGTTAATTCTAGTTGGGGAGTGAAAAGCTTCTGGGAAGAGGGGGTGGAGATCAGTGCTGGGTAGGAAGATCAGGGAATTGCATGGAAAACAGGAAGTACTGATGGATAGCAAAGGTAGAGCGAAAAGAGGTGAGGAAGGTTAGGAATAGAACAATGATGCTTTCAGTGAATACTGAAATGATGGCTTGAAATCACAATGATCTTTTCGTAAGTTGGAAAGAGGCAGACATTGTTCCTGGGGGAGCACTCTTAGTATCTGTGGTATGAAACAGACATTTTATTACATTAGATTATATGGCTAGTGTTTTGGAGGAGAGTATCCAGTGAATTTTTCAGTGACATAAAAGAAAATGGCAAAGGATTAAGTTACCTGGTTGAAGGGATTGGGAGCTGGTAGAAAAATATTGTCCTGGGAATATGGTGAGACAAGAGAAGGGATTGAGAAATGGGAAATGCTTGGAAGGGCGGAAGGGCATTGCTGGATGTCTACCAGCACCAAATGGAGTGTTAATATTACCACTTGGTCTTATACTGCCAAGAATTTCCTTCTCCAAACAGAAGATTAACATGTTAATTAATATATTTCCTTTGAGTGAACTGAAGCATCCACATGTATTGTTCTCATCAGAGGGAATCCTGCAACTCTTTTAGTTTATTGGTAGAATTGAAACAACACACAGCACCAGCACTTCTTTCTATTCGCTCCTCTCTTGGCCCAACCCATGAGCTCCATCATTCCTCCAGCCTGGAGGACAGGATACCCATAAACTCTCGATATAAGACTTGTCACCTCAGATGATCCCCAGGCTTTTCAAACCTACCATCCTCACGCCATTTTCGAAGGCTTGCCGGGTGAGGGGAGCTGGTCCATCCACAGTCTTGCCATCATCGTCTGGGCCCCAGCTGGCACTGTAAATGTGAACGTGCTGGGGGTTGAAGCTGACTGACTTCGCTTCCACCATGTCTGTGACATCTCCATCCAGCATCCGCACACCTTCAAAACAGAACGAGCACCAGCTCATCACAGAGGCTCCACTTTTAAAATATACATTTTAAATCAACATTTAAGTGATGATATTATACTAGTGACAATGTATGTTTTAGAGAAGCAATCTTGGGGACAAAGGAAGTTACCTTGCGTGTAATAAAAATAAAACAAAAAAAATCTTTTTTATTCCTGGTTTCTTTTTCCAAGGTTCCAACCCCTTATTCACCCCTCTCTTGTGACTACTTGACAAAGAGATCATCAAGAGACCCTCCTTCCCTGTTTGTCTTCCTTGAATAATGCATGGTCATAGTCTGTATAAAATATTCTAACCTTAGCAACCTTGAAAAATTTGGAAAGCTACCAACTGAGACTGTTCTCATTTCCTCCATATTTAATATTATTTCCTAAGCTTAAGATTGATATAAACTTAATATCTTTTTTTGCCAAGTCATTTATAAGTCAAATAATAAATGAGTCATTCAATACTTCATATAATTCTGTTTTAGCAATGTTTTGTCATTAATCTTCATTTAAGTATTTCTTATCAGACAGAAATTTATTATTAACCCTATTTTCCAAAAATACTTACTAAGATGCTCAGAAATAAAATATATGTCAAGTTCCAGACTTTCCTTTTTCCCTTTAATTTTGGAAATCACAACAACAAAACATGTATCTGTTCAGTGAACACACCTCTCTTTAGTTTAAACAAAACATCATCACTAAGATGTATTATTTTTAAATTATACCTTTTCAGGAAACAGCTACTCCTTAGGAAAACCCTGTTATTCCAGTAGGATTTCACATTTTTACTGTTTATCTATAGATTGAATAGGAAAATCTCAAATCAAACAGTCTTAGATACTATTGAGTATCTAAGGTTGAGTTGGGACTACTGGAAGAAAACTATTTTTGAAGGAACTATATCTTCTTTGTGCATTTAAAAAATGTTTAACTTTCAACTATAAAACTTCCAAGTAAAGAATAGCAACAACGAACAATGAACACATTGGTCAGTAGTCAACAACTGTTAAAATTTTGTCTTACTTTTTTCATCTAAAAACACAAACTTTAAGCTGAGACATTTTAAATTCCATGAAAGATTATGACACTTTGTCCTTTAATATTTTTTAACAAAAAGTATGCAGATAAAGTCCTATTATCACTTAACACCAGTAAGCACGTATTGCTAAAAACGTTGCTTAGTTGTTGACTCTGTAATTATTAATCTTGATTGTCAGCTTGGTCACATTGAAAGACACCTAGGAGATCAGTAAAGCACACTTATGGGTGCATGAGAGGGCGTTTCCAGCTAGGATTGAGGTGTGGGATAGCAACTGAGGGGACTGATCTGTCCTGAATGATGGGTAGCATTATCAAATAGGCTGGGAACAAAAGGTGGTTGTAGGAAGCCAGCCGAGGCACTCAAGCACAATCTTCTGAGCCAGTGCTCCATTCATCGCCCACAGACCTCAGGTTCCAGCTTCTTCAGCCTTCCCATGCAGACTCACAACAGTGACTCCCCAGGGAGCTCCAGACCTCAGGGATCCTCAGACTGGGGCTACATCACCTGTCCCCCCATGTTCTGAGGCTTCCAGTGTCTTGAGTTAAGCAACTACCAGGTTGATCTCTGGCTCTCCAGCCTGAAAATAGCCATTGTTGGACTATTACAACTCCAACTATACAAGCCAATCTAATCAATCCCACTTTATATATAATTAATTACAATCACATTTAATAATTATGTCACAATTCCAATTATACTGCTAATATATATTCTAACACAATCTTCTATCTCTGCATCTAGGTTTTTGGGTTTTCTTTATATTATATTAATTGATGTATAATAGTTGTACATACTTCTGGGTTACTGTAGGCTATTTTGAGTTTTGGACTTTTAAAGGAAGATGTATATTAACAGGTTGTGTGGAGCATGAAGGCTGTGAACAAATTACGGAACGGAAACTATCCACAGAAAGCTTTGCGGGAGTAGAAGTCTCAGACAGTTTTCCAGATGTATCTGTGCTGAGTAGCCAGTGTTTTGTTTCAGTTTAATGTGAATATTCCAAACTTATCTGCATAGTTTTTAAAGCAAAGGCAGATGAAGTACTTCTTCTTCTTACTTTCTATTTAAAAGCATTAAATGAACTATTTTACCGGTAGTGTGAGGTGTGAAATAAACACTATATCTGTCCCAAATAATCTCACTAGAGTGAACAAATGCCATTATGAGAGTAGCAGCACAATGTCTGAATTCAGTCTCTATGTCATGAAATTTATGCAAAGTGCATGAAAAGAGTGCTTGCTGAATCATACTTAGAGGGTGTCCTGATGTTCTAACTAAAAGTCCACAATGAATCTCATCATTCCATTAGGTTTAAAGAGAAAAGCTTGCATATTTTTCCTCATTTAATCCAAGCCTCATATCTCAGGTCTGAGGAGTTAATTAATAATTCAAAATGTTCTTGTTTAGAACATGTTTGAGTCATTGTCATACATGCCTTAAAAAGGAAGTACTGTTAAGGCAGGCCAGCAGTTTATCTGTGAGTTCATAAGTTCATCCCTACTCCCTTCAAGGTCAGTAAGATCACTGGGGTGTAATGATGGTGGCCTGGGGGAAGAGCCAAGTCCTGAGGTGACAGAGCAGTGCAGGATCTGACTCTGGGGTGAGCAAGAGCCTCCAGCATCCTCATCTCTCTTTAGGAAAAAGCCTTTCTCTCCTTTCCTTATATCCTCCACAAGCCATCCTTGGACCCGTAGCAGATGCTGCTGAGCAAAGTGAATTACTGGTCAAGAAATTGTTATATTCTAAGAAAGAAGAAAGATGAAATAAAGGGATGAAAGGTCAAATTTCCTATTGACTGGGAGTCAAGGTAATTTCAGAGAACCTTTTCCCAGCATTGCTATTTTATGTCATAGTTCCCTCTTATCTACAGTTTTCCTTTCAGTAATTTCAGTTATAGCCAACTGAGATCTGAAAATATTAAATGGAAAAGTCCAGAAATAAATAATCAATACCTTAAATAATCTATATTACAATATGTTGTTATAGTTATGTGTTCTATTTTATTATTCCTTACTGTTGTTAATCTCTTACTGTGCTTAATCTATAAATTAAACTTTATTATAGATGTTTATGTACAGGAAAAAACAGTGTTAGATATACAAGGCTGGGTACCATTGGTGGTTCCAGGCATACACTGGGAGTGGATGAGACTGTCATTCAAAATGCTTAGTTCCATTATTTGGAAACAAATAGTCCATTGGAAACCAGGAGGTCAGCCTGGTTCCATATAATTATTCAGTCACTATGATCTATATGCAATGTTTCTCTTGTTTGTGTGTGGTTTACAAAGATGCTTACCAACAGGAAAGTTAGAGTTTGCTTTTACCAGTGCTTGGATTTATACCTCTTTGGCTGGATCCTTACAGTAAACACATGTATTTGAGTTTGTGCATGCATGTAGATATAATCTGGAATCATTCACAGACACAGTTTCACTACGTTATGGGAAGATAACAGGGTATTTTAGTACTTTGTGTTTTAATTACAATTAATGGGAACTTTTTGTGACCCCTAGGCAGCACAAAAACAGGATTTCCTGCTTTGAGAAAATTTGAAAATGCTTATCCCACAGAGAGATATTATGGCCTGAGGTTTCTACCATTCACTCTTGCTGAAGCAGGCACCAATTGTAAGTTTAGGTACAGATGCTAATGATACAGATATCTTCACTACTGAATAACAGTTTTTCCAAGCCTCTTTAGAAAATGTGTTTGTGACACATTAGGAGTCCTTCCTTCATCAGCACCCCATAACTGTGTTGGACAACTCATGTTAACATGTTCATTTCGAACACATTTATGAAAAGATACACCCATCTTTAGTTTTAAAATGATTCTGAAAAGCAATTAGTAAAATGACGTAAGTTTGTGGTCCATACCTCCGATCCTGGCATTGAAAGCAATTCCGACAGTGCAGTGAGAGTTGTTTGCAGCGGCTGCCACTTCGCCAGCACAGCGGGTCCCATGCCTGCAGGCAGAGCACACACACTTCCTAAAGACACTCCATTCTCACAAACTCAACAGTCATTGCCACCACTCAGACATCAAAGTGGTGAAGAAAGTATCCAGCTGTGGGTGTTTCTAGAACTTCCTACCCAAATAGCACTTAGTCTGTCTAGACAATTTTTTAGCACGTCATTATGCTGGTTTGGATTATATTCTTGATAATGTTTATTTTTTGATATCTGGCTCTCTTAACTAGAAAATCTCCCTGAAGGCTGAAACCAAACTTTATTATGTTTTTTGTGGGGGAGAGGCTATCCAAACTTTTGCTGACCAATATGGTAGCCACTATATTGGGCACTTCAAATGTGGCTACTGCAACTTCATCTCAAGTTTTACTTTTATTTAATGTTAACTAAATTTAAAACTAATTGTCATTTCACATACTGGGAAAGTTAAGAATGTGGTATGAGGATCTACTTTTTAAGCTATAAACTTAGTATTTCCAATGAAAAGTTATGATCTAGAATGGGAAGTGCTGTAAATATACACTAGATTGCAAAGATTTTGTATAAAAGTAAATATCTACTAGCTGAAAGAACTAGGATCATTTTGTCCAGGGGTGTCAAAGAAGGTTCCTAGTACAAAGCACAACCTGTTCAGCATTTGAACAGCACATTGAGAAGAATGTTAAGGCATAGTCAAACCCAGAAGAGCACTGATACCTACAGCTAATGTCTGCCATTGCTGCAGAAGAGACATGTGACAGCCACTGCTATGATGCATTTGTTACCACTAATGATGTCTGGATGCCCACCTTTTCCCACGTTTTTAGAGATAAGCACACCTAGAAGGACCCGAATGTAAAGACATAACGTCGAAAGCAATGCTTAGTCAAACAGTGATGAAAATTCAGGCTTCAAAATCCCATTATAGTACTTTTGGTTTTATAGCACAGTGGGCTTGGCCCACACTTGCCATAGGATATAGCCACTGCCTCCACAAATAGAAGTTATTACTTACAAGTGATCGGCATGCATGCAAGTTTGCACAAGAGGTATGACATCATCTTTTTTCACTGAGTAATGGGTTGCATATCATTCTATATAAATGTTAATATCTGTATTTTCATGGTTACTAGTGCACTGCAGAATTCTTTCAATGGTATATATACATGTGTGTGATACCTGTATGTACATACACACACACACACACACACACACACACACACACCATAGTCTCTTTAACTTATCCTCTATTCCTGGAACTTTATCAAGTTTTTCACTAATGTAAACAAGGACATAAGAAGCAATCTTGAGCACATATAATTTAATGCCTGGAGATAAATTCCTGGAGGTAGAATAACTGGACCAGAGAATGCAGAATGTATTGTCCAACTGTTAACAGCATATGAAAGTAATATAACCAAACCATATAAAAACTTCACAATAGAAGATATTGGTGCAAAGTTATAATTGTTAAGCACAGCAAGACAGAGAGTGCTAGAGAGCATAAGACAGATTGAATGACAGTAAAAAACAGAAAAAAAATCTGGATAAGTTCTGTGTATGAATTTTTCAATCTTTTTTATCTTTGCCCACCTGACATGAAAATGTTATCTCATTGTCGTTTTTCTCTCTGATTATATTTGATGTTGAACATCTTTTAAAATATTTGTCATTTCTATTTCTTGTTTTGTGAATAACCTTTTCATGCCTTTCCTGTCATATCTATTGCAAATATGTTTCCAAGTCTGAAAAATATCAATCTTACTTAGGACAAATTTGAGTTGTCATACTCATATTTCTAACTATCTTGCCCTTTTATTATTTGCTTGTATCACTTTGTTGGGAAAGTGATCAAGTGTTAAAAGAACAACTATTTCTTCTCTAAGCCCTATGCTCAAATAATAATTTTTCTCCTCAACCAAGGCCTTGCAATTATTATGATGCTTCATTATGTTCTTATTGTGTATTGCCTCATGGTGTAAGTTATTTTTATCCAAAAGTCTAATTCCTTTAATGTCTCCACTGCTCTTGTAGTCCATTGCATCTATTATTAATTAATATAACTAGACCACAAAGGCTTTTATGTTTAAATTAAGCTCTGGTTTGTTCTTTGGCCTATGGGTTACTTACATGTATGTTTTGATGTTTCCAAATGTTTATGATTAGTTTTTTAAATACTGGTTGGTAACCTTATGATGAGAGAGTATAATAAATCCTTTGAATTTTGTGAGAATTCTACAATGTCCCAGTTCATGGTCTGTGATGATACAAATGATGCACTATACATTCTCCAATTCTTCTTTATATAAGTCCATCATATAAATTTGGTTAATTCACTGTAGTTTTGTTAATGTTCTTTGCAGTTCTATTAATTTTGCTGTACTTAGAATGGAATTATTAATCTTCTTTCTTTCCTTTTTCTTGTGGTACTGGGGTTTGAACTCAGGATCTTCACCTTGAGCCACTCCACCAGCATTTTCTGTGAAGGGTATTTTCTAGATAGAGTCTGGTGAACTATTTGCCAAAGCTGGCTTCAAACTATGATCCTCCTGATCTCTGCCTCCTGAGTAGCTAGGATTACAGGCATGAGCCATCAAGTGCTCAGCAATTATTAACCTTCTTAGTGAAATAAGCCCTTTATGAATATGTAGCAATATTCTGTATCTCTTGTATTATAAAAGATATTTGGTTGATATTTAACTTGTATATTACTTTGCTCTTTTTACTTTCAAACATTCTATTTCATAGTAGTTATGTTTCTTATGAAAAAAAGATGAGTTATTTGAAGCTAGGACATCTTTACCTACAGAGTAAGCTCATTTGCAATAGCTTTGTTTACTGAATGTTCATATTCATTTCTATAAATTTTTTTGTTGTACTGTTTTTTGTGTAGTTGTTGTATATTCACTTATTGGTATGAGTTTCCCATGGTTATAATTACACCTTGAAATTTTGAAACCCTGGAAATTACTATCATGGTTGCTACTCTAAACAATCAATGTTTGTTTAGATTTATAAATGAATTATTGACTCAATTTCTTTTTGTAGTTCATTATGTAGATCATTGATTTCTTTTTGAAGATCATGTTATAGATATACCCCTTCAGAGGGTCTTCTGATAGCCAAAAACTTTAGAGAGCCTCAGAAAATGACTTCATTGTTCTTGAAAAATAACTTTAGTGGGTAAAGAATTCAGGACTAATCCTACATCATCCCATTGCCTTGTAGCTTCCATTATTCCTGGCGAAAGTCAGTAATCTAGACAATCTGTTTCTCTCTGGACACTTTCCAGATCTTTATTAAAAAAAATTTCTTAGAATGTTTAAACCTCTGCTTTAATCCCTCAGAATTCTTGTTATTATTTCTGAAAACTGCCTTTCCATCATTCTCTCCAGTTTCCTTTTAGGATCCCAATGAAGTATCTACTTACACTGTCTGTACTACCTATGTTCTTAGACTTCTCACAAGTTTCTCTTTCTGGGTTACAGTCCATATAACTTCTTCAATTCTCAATTTCACTTATCCTATTTTCAGTCATGACTAATCCATTCATTGTATTGTTCATGCCAATAATCATTATTCATTTTTGAAGTTCTTTGTTCTTTCAAAAATCTGTTTGGACTGGGGGTATGGAATAAGTGGTAGAGTACCTGCCAATAAGCACAAGACCTTGAGTTCAAAGCCTGTATTACCAGAAATAAACATCTCCTTGGTTAATTCTAATAGTCTCTTCTTCTGAAAATACTTTTTTAATATTCACTTTTTTATGCATATATATTACATCTAAGAATTTTAATATACATAAATTTAATTCTATTATTGTATCTGCTTCCCGATTGTTTTCATGGGGCCATTTCCTCCCATGAAGCTGCAGAATTTTCCATTTAGGAGGTTACATTACTTGGGCTTTCATCTTTTGAATTCTTTGAGGCTGTGGTGGGAAGCTCATTATTCCAAAGATTTAAATTTGCTCTTTTCACATATTTGTTGATAAACTATCCAGACCTGTAACAGGTAAATATAAATTTTGAACCACACAAAAAATATGAATTATGAATACAATCCCATGAGTATCATTAGTAATTTTTAAAGGGTAGTTAATTGTTTATCCACTTTTCCCATGTGTTACCCAGGCCACAAAAGTTAAATGTGTCCTTTGTCTCAGTGTATGTGCATCACTAAAGTAATGAAGATGGTATCTTATGAGTTCTGTTTTACATAGAAGCACTTTCTCACCTCATTAAACTGCAGTCTTATGTTCTGCCATCTCTGGGCTTCTTAAAATACAGTTCAAGGATGGCAGGAATTGGTTGTGCACCCCAGAAAATGTCTGTGTCTACTTAGTGTCATAGATTTGAACTTTCTCAGACAAATTTCTTGGTGTCCGACCAACTCAACTATGCACTAAATTTTTAAAAAATATTTTCCCAGAACTTTTAGATGTACTATACTAGAAGAGTTGTAATTGAATATTTATTTTTCTATATTGTTTAAAACTGAAATAACTAATTATCTCTTTATCCCTAAAATGTAACACATTCTTGCACATGTGACATGCATGGTTAATGCATAACGAATGCACCTAAGTGGATAACTGCTTATTTCCATATAAAAAAGTTTGTGGCAAAGAGTTCTATACATTACTGTATGTCATAATGTGTGAACCATTTTTGTGAGACAGTGAAATCATCTGAGGTGAACCCTCACTCTCTGTTGACTCATATGTTTTTCAACTATCAGTTAAATAATATATTGCAGCCTACTGTAATTGAGAGTCCAGATGGGCAGCCCAACTACATTTAAACAGCCCACACTCCTCAGGTGGTCATAATCATTACCCCCAAAATAGTACCAGTGACCATTTCACTTTTATATCTTTGTTGGACTAAGTATTTTGACATTGCTTGTTTGAAGTTCAAGTGTGTGAACAGGTCTCTGCTTTTTTCTAATCCTACACAATAAGGGTGGGCAGCAAAAACTATGTAGTGTCAGTTCAAAATAAAATAAAAACAAGCCT